AAGAATTCAAATCAACCGGAATATTATATTGAGAATTGTATTGGATAGAAACATGGCGTCGGCATCATAGCGATTCCGGCATGTTGTACAACATGATGATGTCATGAAAGTTTCTGAAGGAGTTAAGTGAATTGAATTTATGTGATAGAATAGAATAGAATAGAAGTGTCGGAGTTGAAGAAATAGGCCCATGGCCTGTTGCCGATTCTTGAAAAATTTCAACTCATTGTCGATATTAACTCCTAAATCCTTTTCCGTTGTCGACTTCGACATCATCACTCTGTCGTTGCAACCGTGTCTTCTCATACTGTAATCTTGCTGTTCATTATTCTTGCCAAGGTGGAAAACTTTACATTTGTCAGCGTTAAAACGCAGCTGCCACTTATCAGCCCAGTCAACCAGCCTGTCAAGATCACCTTGCAACTGTACTTTTTGCGACGTATTCTTGACTGTATTATAAATTTTTGTGTCGTCAGCATACATCGAGCAAACGCTAGACACAGCTTCTGGCAGATCGTTTATAAACGCGACGAATAGAATAGGCCCGAGAACGCTTCCTTGTGGCACGCCGCTGCGCACTGAAGCCCAGTCTGATACGGACCCATTAATACTGACACGTTGTCGCCTCCCTAAATTAAATTGTTGTAAATTTGTTGTTGTATGTGTTCTAAAAAATAAATTTATGGAAAACCCGAGTTTCAGCAAAGACCTTGATGACAGATTCCTGAGGTTATGGTCTTATGTGCTATATCGGTGACTTCTTCCAAGTGATCATGCATTTAAAAATGAAATAAAATATGTCATGGAATAAATATGTATACATGTCATGCATTTTTGAGAGTTGATAAATACCGTAATTTGAGACTTTATCAAAAAGAAACTTGTAAGTAACCGAATTTACTAGATCATTTACTGCGATTTTTGTTGATAATTAAAATATTGAACAAATTTATGAATAAAACGTTTGGATAGTTGGGCAACAATCCTGTAGAACTAATCATGTTTGTCAGAGAAGGTTCTAATTGAAGATAATATAGAAAATGACATTTGATTCATTGGAATTGGGCATCAATGTAAATTAAAGTGAGACTAAAAATTGTTCGATGTTTTATCTTAAACATAATTGTTTGTGTTAAATATCCTGTTAATTTAAGTATTCTGTTTCCGTGCATTTTATTAAATTTATGAGCATAAAAAGCCATAAATAATCTGTAGGTACCACATCGCTTCAGACGAGGTATGCACAAAAGCGTTCATTGTAGGAGCTCACCAAGGAAAATGAACGGGTCTATTTGTTTAGATATTGACACACTTTCTTACCCTTAGCATGAACAGGTAACGGCTGGAGTACTGAGAAGAACTTGTGACGCGCCAAACTGGGTCAGGAAAATCCACACCAAACTAAAATGTGCATCACATTTTGGACAACGTGTAAATCAATCCTCACAGACTGGTTCTCTTTAAAGTCCAAAACTTTAAAGTTTTTTTTTTAATTTTTTTTAAACTTTTTTAAAGTTCTCTTCAAAATAAAGTTTAACAGAAACAGACAAACTTTTACATGCGAGTGTAGCGAGCCTTGCTCAGCTTCCTGGACGTCACTGGTTTCTTGTTAGGGTATGAATACCACACAAATTATACATATCATGCGTAATTATATTATAAAAAAATATATATAAATACGGTAAAATACCACACAAATTATACATATCATGCGTAATTATATTATAAAAAAATATATATAAATACACAAATTATACATATCATGCGTAATTATATTATATATAAATATATATAAATACCACACAAATTATACATATCATGCGTAATTATATTATAAAAAAAATTATACCAGATGTTTGTGAGAAATTAAAGATAGCGGCCAGCAGCGCCGGTTTCGGACAGCAACGTCCGAATCTTCCGAAACGTTACCCTTTAGAACTTGAATACACGGCTGAATTTGATCGATTCAAATTCATCACAACTATAATTCATGAATATCCTGGCATGAGTAAACAAAGTAGAACTACATAAGCTACATGGCGCCTACATAGTGGTTACAACATGGCGATATGTTCCGACTTCTGTTGCCGCTCGTTCAGTGCATTTATCAGATCCCCCATGTGGCTAAAATCACAGCAACAAAGTGCATTTGTGAATGTGATTTGCATAATAATTCTTACCGCACACGAACTGACACGCACGAGGCAGACGATGTTTTTGCTGGTTATCAGTGACACTCCAGAGCAATGGAGTGTACACCAGAGCAATGGAGTGTACACCAGAGCAATGGAGTGTACACCAGAGCAATGGAGTGTACAATGGAGTGTACACCAGAGCAATGGAGTGTACACAATAGAATACCCTAAAGTTTCGGCTTGGAATACAGAGCACTGGAGTACAGGCTGCTCCAGCACACTCCTGAGCACTGGAGCACACGCTGCTCCAGGACACTCCAGAGCACTGGAGCACACGCTGCTCCAGCACACTGGAGTACACGCTGCTCCAGGACACTCCAGCACACTGGAGTACACGCTGCTCCAGCACACTCCTGAGCACACTCCTGAGTACACGCTGCTCCAGCACACTGGAGTACACGCTGCTCCAGCACACTCCTGAGCACACTCCTGAGTACACGCTGCTCCAGCACACTCCATAGCACTGGAGTACACGCTGCTCCAGCACACTCCTGACCACTGGAGTACACGCTGCTTCAGCACGCTCCAGAGCACTGGAGTACACGCTGCTCCAGCACACTCCTGACCACTGGAGTACACGCTGCTCCAGCACACTCCAGAAGATGGACCACACACCGCCCTCCACGCCCGTCCAGCAAGACATGAGGCAGGAGCTTCCGGACACCCGTCAGCTGACCAATCAATGGACCTTGCCTGGAATAATTAAACCTCGGGTTAGCTGCGTGAGCAAGTTCGATATGGAAAGTGCGGCCCATTTCATTCAAAACTTTCATTATTGCCATCAAAACCTTCATTATTGCTATCAAAACGCTCATCATTTCCATCATAATCGTCATTATTGGAATCAAACCCTCGTTTTGGAGCATGTTTTGATGATCCCGCAAAAACTAGTTTAATATGAGTAAAGTAATTCGAAAAAAGTCATTTTAATAGAGATTTCTTTCGCTTGGAATTCTTTCTCGAGCGTAGTACATACTTTTTCTCAACCTCAAGAAAACCTACTCACTATTTTTGCACAAGATCTATTCCTCGATAAGAGTGTTATACTCGTGACTAAATTGATGTCAAATCATGCACCAACACCAACGCTGGTGACTCGCGACTAAACTACTGCAGCGTTATATGGTCTAGCGCTGGTAGGGGACTAAGAAACATTTTATTCAAATCATTCGGGTTGGAAATGAAATAAATAAATTTTTAATGGTGAACCAGTCAGGATTAATGCATTTTGAAACTACTTGAACTCTTTAGAGCTTCATCTGTTTTCTAATGAGGTGCTTTATTGCTTCACAAAAAACGAGTTTCTCATTAAATGGTATTTCGCTCTAATGTTCAAACTAGAAACTTGTTGCAATGACGATGCAGCATTAGCAAATATCAAATCAATTTCATAACCAAACCAACCTTTACTTACAGTAATATATATTTTTAGTGTAATCGCGCATTCCTTCCTTTGATACTACTCTCATTGATCAGTTCTAAACATACAGTTAAGTTACCGAGAGATATCACGTACAACACAAACTTCTCCGCCAACTCCAGCGAGTGCAACCATTGCATACACTACAAAAGAGTGCTCAACTTGCGGTAAGTAGTTTCAGTACTTAGTCGTACATTCAGAGCGATTTTAGAAAACCTTTTTCTTAGATTGAGGAAGTACTTGAGTGCCTGGCAAAGCGGTGTACTTGCCAACACGCAACACACAATTTCGGGCGAATAAATCCCGTAGATATATTTTCAACCTACGGCGGAAGGCCGCGGATGTACCGCCGAAATGACGTTCTGCAAGCGGTAATAAATTTCCTAACATTTGGTTGTCTGATCTACCTTTACTTTCCGTTAATTGCTCCATTCGTCACTATATAATTGAGTGTATTTAAACTGTAATCAGTTTTCTATAACGATTAACGAATCCTTCTAAAATATTTACTAGCGTTTTTCACCGTGACGAGATCAAACCCTTGAGTGAGAAAGGGACTTGCGTCAAACCGTTTGGGTCTATTGAGAAATAAAACAAATGAAAAAAATTTAAAAAACCAAGTTTTCTTAACGGACAAAAAAGAAAAACATTTACTCTTACATAACATTTAAGTTATGTAAAATGTTATGTAATGATATGTAAGAGTAAATGTTTTTCTTTTTTGTCCGTTAAGAAAACGTGGTTTATAAATTTAAATTTTTTTATTTGTTTTATTTCACTATTTTCAGTTTTATAAAAACCAGAAAAACGGGGTTTTTAAAAATATTTTTTACATTTATTTATTTTCTACTTTTTAGTTAGCAATTTTATCAATTCAAATCAAGCCCCAGGGTTGGCAAGTGTGTATGTTCGAAAAAAAAAACTCAATTTCAAACCGTGAATTTTTAGTGTTTTTTTTTCAAAAAATTTGTAAATTATTATTTCTGATGATCAAATCTTGAATTGTTAGGCAGAATAAACATGCATGCCAAATTTGAACTTACTAGGATATTTAGAAGTGCTCTAAATTAATGTTTGAATTTTTGATGACAGACACGAAACGAAATCAAGAAAAACGTGGTAATAAGGGTAACCGAATGAAATATTATTACGATTTCACTCGTCATAGCATCCATTGGTAATGGAAAATCATTAACAAATTTTTTCGATTTGAGCAAAAAAATAGTGAAATGTGAATTTTATATTACTGATATCAGTTAATGTACTATTCGCTGCGTTAATTAACGATTTGACCGTCTTAAAGATATTCATAACATATCATTTCGGCTTGCATCCTTTCCCAAAGTATTTCCGGAGCACAACATGTTCTGCGGGGTGACAGTAGCGCTAGCGGAGACGGAGAGTGGTTAGTTGCCAAAAGCCAAAGGCCGATGAGATCGGGGCCGCGGGCGAGCGGGTGCTCAATACTCACAACTCTGTGGACTTTGGTAGCAAGAAATAATGGTTGCTAGTTTATGAGTGCGGCAAATAAAACCTGACCATGGAATGGGATGACGTGATATACATTTCCCTACTTGGGTTTTCTATATTTTTCGGAAGGGTATTTTCGCAGCTTCCTTGCGGTTCTTACCGAAGATGGGTAGGAACGTGTGTTGGTCTTGCTATGGTTGTCACAGTTTCTGGCTACCACTCGCTTCATCCTCTGTTTTCTACTGCTGCAAATCTGCTTATCATAAAATATGCTGATAAAGCGTGAGTAGACTATGGCTTTTCTATTTTGATCACTGCTCTACTTTATAATGTACCTATTTCATTTTTGAAATGTTAGATAATTTAATTTTTGAATTATTAGATAGCTAGGTAGTCTAAGTGAGACTGAGAGCTCAACTGAAAAATGAAACTCTTACCAAAATTTGATGGCTCAACAGTAAGGAGTTGAGTTCTGGCAGTGATCGAGGACGCACGTAGTGTTTGCGGGTCCCAACTTTCTCACTTCTTACTATGCCGGTTTGACTTATCTCGCGAAACGAGTTTAGATCTATGAACAAGGCACGAAATGGAAAAGAATCGGCGACAGGCCACATCAGGCCTACACTTCAGAGCCGACATCACTATGTTATGTTATGTTAAGACAAAGAATGAAAGATACATATTTTGTTAACTTTATTTAAAATTTATTTGATTCAAACAGGTTTATTTTGGCGTAAATTTTGAAACCTATGGCTTTTAAACCCTTTGACATGTCTACCTAATTTGTTGGTCTGGATTTATAATGATTATATGTACCAAACTAGTAAAAAGAAAAATATTTCATGTGCTAAATTGTCTACTTAAAAATAAAATAATTAATAAATATTGTTATTACCTTATTAAAATTTCAGCATTACACTAAAAAAATTTAGTGTAAAACCATTGCTTGACAAGTCCTAAGTTTGCAGGCTGCAGCTAACAATTTGTTATCAATAATTTTGATTATTGATTCATATATTGAATTAGATAATCATTAATTGCTTATCATTTTTTTTTTATCTTTGCTACACAATTGATAAACTTGTGGCTCTACAAATTTAGTTGCTTTGGACTTTGGAGAGAACTTAATTTCCAAACTTACATGCTTAGGTTAGTTAGGTATAGAAAATATCTCATTTTGTTTGCTAATCAGGAAAGAAATATATCAAACTCTTAGTTTTTAAATGCATATTTTAATTTACTGAATCAAATTTGTAATTGTATCCTCATGACCTCATCAACAACCACATGAATGAAGCACCTATGTTAGAAATTGAAATACAAGTTTTAACTATTTGTATTGTTTATCACTGTAGATGGTGCCACATCTACAGCCTGGTGTTCTGTTTTGGATACCTCTTCTTGTTCCGGCTTGGGAGCTACTTTGGACTTCCATCTCCTCCTGGCCACACAAATGCTATACAAATGATGATCACTCTTAAGGTGCCTACAATCTAAGTCAAATTATGTACTGAATTAATTTGAAAGCTTATTCATATTGAATTTTCAGGTGCCATTTTTTTGTCTGACATTGTAATAAACACTCTTGTGATAGTTTACCAAGAATGTTGACCCTATTTTAGCATGCCCTTATTGATATTTATGCATGGTAATTAAAGGAAAGTTTTTTTTATGCAAAACATTTGTATTGTTTTTCATCTTAATGAATCCAAGCAGAGTTTCCATTTTTGCAGTTGCAAAGCATTACAAATTCGTAGTTATTAGAAAAATTATTTTCTGTCTCACATTGTATGTACACTATTGTAAAATATATATAGCATAGTGGCTATGTCACATAAATACCAATCTAATATATATGTTCTGCCAGCTTGAAGTTCAAAAATTGGTTGAAATTGGCAAAGAAATTCTATGTCAACATGCCAGGCTCTTTCTCATCAAAATAACATGTGCATGTTGTCCCTGAACCATAGTGGCAATGAAGACTTTTCAGGCTTTTATTTATTGAGCGTGAGCCTCATAAGTAGACAAGTAAAATATTATGGCTACCATTGAGAACATATTTAAACTGGATTCAGGGAATTGAAAATGAATTGCTTGCTAATAAATTATCTTTTGCCACTATTTGCCCTGAGCAGTTGGTTGGTGTGTGCTTTGAGGTTCATGACTCTTGGCAGTTAGACAGAGACTTGAAAATCTCAGAAGAAAACCTGAAGGCAACTGAAGCTGACAAGACCAAGACCATATCTGGTAATAATGAAGATCTTCCAGCAAAGTAAGTGTTGTTGAATATACTGCCAGGTAGCAAAGTGATGCAATCAAGTTTGCTACAATTCCTTCTAATTCCTAAAGTTCATATGAATACATAAAAAGATGATATGATCATATGATACATATATTAATAGTTATAAGTGATATTTAGTAGTTCAAATGGTTCTAAAAATTTTCTGGGATACCTGTAGTATAAATATGACAGTGAGAGTAACTGGTTAGCCTCACTAACTAAAGTTGCTATCAGTAGGTGCATTTTTATAAATTTAAATAGCAGTGCAAAGATTTCATGCTTCCATTAATTTTCTCATGTTGACACAATTTGATCCAATATCTTTCTAAATAAAAAATGTAATATTCGCAACCCTGGATAAAATTCCTTTGTCTTTGAAGTGGTTTACCAAGGTAATAATGAAGCCTTGAAATGAACCTTATCCAAAGACTTGTATAATGATTTGCAAGAAATATTGATGTAATTTGATGACATGAACATTGGAGTCATTTCTGATTGCATGAGGTTCTGGTGCATGTGCAGTAGGTATTTTTTGCCTGCCTCCCTGTATTGTAGAAGAAAATTAAATTTCATTTTAGCTCAAAAATAAATGAAAGTGTCCAGTGATGTTACAGTTTACACATGTGTTGTACATTTCATTTTCTTTCAACTGAGTTTCTAGTTGCACACATGCAAAACTTGAGTAAAATGTCCAATTTACTCTTGATAAAGGCTCACTCTGTGCTTTGAAGTCTGACTTTATACTTTGATTTTCAGAGAATCAGATTCTGGAGAATCAACTGTGAGGAGAAGAGTAACAGAGGCTGAGGAGGTACCAGGCAAACCTTGTAAGTCTGCCAGTGAAGAACACGAGGAGCTTCTCCTACGCAAGAAGTACGAGGCCATCAGCCCTTCTGTGTTGGACGTGTTCCATTACTCTTTCTTCTACTGCGGTATCCTGACAGGTACGTTCCACTACTCTTTCTTCTACTGCGGTATCCTGACAGGTACGTTCCACTACTCTTTCTTCTACTGCAGTATCCTGACAGGTACGTTCCACTACTCTTTCTTCTACTGCGGTATCCTGACAGGTGTGTTCCACTACTCTTTCTTCTACTGTGGTATCCTGACAGGTACGTTCCACTACTCTTTCTTCTACTGTGGTATCCTGACAGGTACGTTCCACAGCTTCCACTACTCTTTCTTCTACTGCAGTATCCTGACAGGTGTGTTCCACTATTCTTTCTTCTACTGTGGTATCCTGACAGGTACGTTCACCTGTTAGTTAGGATTCTGTAACAGTACTTGTATCCTACCAGTATCATTACTAGGAGTTGCCTAGTATAGTAGTATCATTAGAGTATCTCTGCATCAGAGCTGCATTTCATGACTTTTTTCTCAATTTTCTGTATACAAGAGCTTGGTTTTACAAAGACAATGATATATATAGTTTTATAAAGACAATCTCAATCATAATATATGTCTTGCTACGGTTATTCTCACATTGTACAGGGCCGTACTACAAGTACAGCGTGTACCGTGACCTGATGGAGGGCAGGAGTGGAGGCCCCCACTTACAGCCCCTGTGGTGGTGCCTGCAGCGGCTGCAACCTCTCCCTCTCTACGCTGCACTCTTCTTCATAGTCGGACACTTCTTCCCTCTCAAGGTCCCTCTCAAAATTCTTGTCTCAAGTTACTTATTCCTCTCAAATTCTCATCCTGAGTTACTTCTTTTCTCTTAAAGTCCCTCATAAATTTCTTGTCCTGACTTCTCCCCTCTCAAGGTCCCTTGCAAAATTCTCGTCCTAAAGTTTGTTGTTCAGTAGCTCTGTTAAGAGCTTTGTTAGTAGCCCTATAAATTTAACTCTCGAGATCGTTTTCAGTTTTACTCCTCGGTAGCTTGAAATGAGTTTTTAAAGTTTGTTATTGATGGGTAGATGAAAGTGATTTATTTGCTGTGTAATTCTTGCCAGTAGGCACATTTGAACTCATAATCCAACATCCTCCCTAAGATTCTTGGTCAGCCGTCAGTGTTAAATTTAAAACTGAGACTGCCGGCTGTTCACAATATATGTACAACTTTGTACCTACAGTTTGCAATGTATATACCTATAACTGTGTACAGTTTGTACAATATATACATACAGTTTGCAGAAGGCCCTGAGATCTTCAGCGAGTACAGCCTGGGCTACCGTGTGCTGTACATGACGCCCGTATTCTTCGTGTTCCGTATGAGGCTGTACGCAGGCTTTGTGCTCAGTGAATGTGTGTGCATCACCGCGGGGCTTGGGGCCTACCCCCAGCGAGGTCTTCCTAGGCCTGGCAAGGGCCCCACCGACCTCAAGGCACTTGATAGGTGAGAACTTTGTTATACAATGGAAGCAAATGAAAGTTAACAATGTATAACAATGTTATACTTTGTTATACAATGGAAGCAAATGAAAGTTAACAATGTATAACAATGTTATACATTGTTATACGTTATACATTGTTAAGCAATGGAAGATTTAATGTTTATGAACATTGTTCAAAAGCTTTAGAACATTAGTTATACAATTAAAGTATGATGATTGAATACCAACTACATTGTTGAGATTGTTGTTGACAAAATAGATGTGGTATAGAAGCTTAGGAACATTTGTAATATCATTGAAGTGGTGTAAGCTTGCTCCAAATGTTGAAAACTTTATTTTATACAAACCACGAGAACTCAGCGAGGTTATTGTAAATGAATGTCAAGTGTCTCTAGCCACAGGGCTGTTATAAATGTGCCTCCTCAGACATTATGTTGAGCTGCAGACATTTCTGTTGCTGGTCTTGTGTACCTCGGAACCTTTAATTAATCAACTAAATAATTTCACGATTTCCAAAGAAATCGAATCTTTTGGCTGCCATGGAAAAATGTGACTTTCAAAACTTAAAATTCATGCAACCCACGTAGTTGAATAGCCTACTGGTACTAACTGAGCATGAGCAAGCAAGGGGACTGTACCATTGAGACTACACAACGATACTAATGTACTGCCTTCCCCCAGCAACAGCAAGGAGGAATGTACTAACGAGATGTACAGCTACGAGACTGTACACAACATAGACGAGTACGGCTCGGACTTCAGCCCGACTGTGCGGGCGGGTATGCGGTGCTGGAACATGACTGTGCAGTGGTGGCTGGCGACCAACGTCTACAGGAGGATGAAGGCTCCTAAGCCTGTCAAGTGAGAACTGAGCTCTCAATGTTACTTGGATCGCCACCTTTCTTGGGCGTTATGTATCAATAACAAAGGTAATCGTCAATTTCATTGGCGTCATGCACTGATAATACGTAAATAACCCACTTTGCTTAGGTGTCATGGACCGATGATACTTGAGTCGCCACCTTACTTAGGCACCAATGGCACTTGAAATGGCTTCTTGCCATTTGACAGTTTGCTGCCATTAGACAGGTTGCTGCCATTTGACAGTTTGCTGTCATTTGACTGGTTGCTGCCATTTGACAGGTTGTTGTCATTTGCCAATTAGTTGCCATATGTCGGCAGGGAGGCGGTGACGATGCTGACATCAGCATTCTGGCACGGCATGCACTCAGGCTACTACCTCTCCATGCTGACGGTGCCGTTCATCCTCATGGTCGAGGACTACTACGCCCGCGTCGTCAGGAGGAGGCTCGGGCAAACGGTCAGCTGCTGACACTGTGGGCTGTTGTTGTTGTTGTAGCAACGTCAACCACTAGTCCGTTCCGAGGCCGATGAAGCGCGCCACATCGATTGGCTGCGTCCAAAGATCGTGTGTTGAAAGTTGTGTCGGCTTGGCCTGGCAGTTGAACAAATGTTGTACGTCGTGTGGGCCGATTCCACAATTCGGACATACACTGTGGGCTGTGGCGTCAGCTGCTGGCGCTGTGGCGTCAGCTGCTGACACTGGGGCTGTGGTGTCAGCTGCTGGCACTGTGGGGCTGTGGTGTCAGCTGCTATGTGGGGGCTGTGGTGTCAGCTGCTGGCACTGTGGGGCTGTGGTGTCAGCTGCTGGCACTGTGGGGGCTGTGGTGTCAGCTGCTGGCACTGTGGGAGCTGTGGTGTCAGCTGCTGGCGCTGTGGGGGCTGTGGCGTCAGCTGCTGGCGCTGTGGGGGCTGTGGCGTCAGCTGCTGGCGCTGTGGGGGCTGTGGCGTCAGCTGCTGACCCTGGGCACAATGGCGTGGGTTACTGATACTGACCCTGGCGCCAGCTCAGTGGTTCACCAAGTTCCATGTGCAGGGTGCGGCGGTGTACGACTGGTTCACATGGTTCCTGAAGATGCAATGGTTCTACTGACCCTGGCGCCAGCTCAGTGGTTCACCAAGTATCATGTGCAGGGTGCGGCGGTGTACGACTGGTTCACATGGTTCCTGAAGATGCAATGGTTCTACTGACCCTGGCGCCAGCTCAGTGGTTCACCAAGTATCATGTGCAGGGTGCGGCGGTGTACGACTGGTTCACATGGTTCCTGAAGATGCAATGGTTCTACTGACCCTGGCGCCAGCTCAGTGGTTCACCATGTATCATGTGCAGGGTGCGGCGGTGTACGACTGGTTCACATGGTTCCTGAAGATGCAGTGGTTCGCGTACATGGGCATGGCATTCCTCCTGCTGCGGGTGGAGCCCACGCTGCAGTACTGGAGCTCCATCGGGTACCTTGGCCACGGCCTCATCCTCGTGCTGCACGCCTTCGCGCAGTTCATCAACTTGGTCCTGGGAAAAGTGCGTTTTATTTTGTTAAGAGTTGATATTACCTAATTTTAGTTGCCTGCAAGTTGGGAGCTGATGAGTTTGGGACTCTAAACTCCACCTGGGCAGTTCATAGCGCTAATCATCGAAGTTGATGAACTGCCTTTGCGTACGATGTTTAGCAACCTTGTCCATGCGAAGGTGAATTTCCAGGGTCTTCATCAGTTGATAATGAATATTTTATGTATTTCATTAAATAACAATTAAAATTCAGTGTAATTTGGTTGGCAATAATGGGATTTCTTGTATTTTCTTGAGTTATAATTTTAATTTTTATCAGTTTCTATAGTAGTAATCAATGTTTTACTTTTAATCAGTAAGGTTGCATATTTTATAATTTATTGAGTGATACTGGAGGCATTTGATGCCTCGCTTCATAAAGTTGTGGCGGTCTGCACAACTTTTGTACACAGGGACAGTAGTGGCGGCCAGTACAACTTTTGTACATACGGACAGTAGTGGCGGCCTGTACAACTTTTGTACATACGGACAGTAGTGGCGGTCTGCACAACTTTTGTACACAGCGACAGTAGTGGCGGCCAGTACAACTTTTGTACACAGGGACAGTAGTGGCGGCCAGTACAACTTTTGTACATACGGACAGTAGTGGCGGCCAGTACAACTTTTGTACACAGGGACAGTAGTGGCGGCCAATACAACTTTTGTACACAGAGACAGTAGTGGCGGCCAGTACAACTTCAGTACACAGGGACAGTAGTGGCGGCCAGTATAGTATACAAGTACTAACCGCCACTATTTATCATGCTACTGGCCTCGTGTAAAGGTTTACTGTATACCATGCTTGAAACACGACATTTTGATTTTTGGTTCAAAGGTTTAGTTGACATTTTATTGTTTACTCTTTTTTCAGAAATGAGTGTTGCTATTCTGTGAATGTTTCAATATATACATATTTATTTGATATGTGCATATGTATAATGTTTATTTGATTTGTGCAGGCGCAAGACAAGCTGAAGAAGGCGCGTAAGACGGCGTACGGCAGCGAGACGCGACTGAGTGTGAAACGCGTCAATGAACCGCAGCCGCAGGAGGACCTTAAGAAAATCCTGTGAAAAAATACTTTAATGCAGAAAATCCTATGAAAAATCCTTTATTGAAGAAAATCCTATGAAAAAATCCTTTAATGGAGAAAATCCTCAGAAGAAATCCTCTGAAGGAAATTTAAACAACGTTGTTTGCAAACATGCATCTAGTTGCCAAAACTAGGAAGTTGCGGTCCCTGTGCTAACTGGTAGTAGATTTATGAATTTAGCGGGGTGATGGAGGCGTGGTTGAAAAGTTATATAAAAGTAAGCATGGAGAAACTTTTAGCATGTGTGAAAATGGTAACATAAAATGTAGCTTCACTTTTGGAGAGCAAAAGTGAAAAGTCTTAGTGCTTTCTAAGTATTGCTTATTCTTAAACAGTACTATGAGTGAAGTTCATGAGAGTTTATGCAAAATTGCAGGCAACGTTTATTGAAGAATAACTGAGGCAAATGTATGGCATTGACTCCGGTGGAGTATTGCAGGGTGACTATAGCGGTGATGTTGTATGGCATTGAATTAGGTGAAATTACGCAGAGTAAGTCATAGTGGTAATGGTAAATTATATATTCAGTGAACTCATACTTAATGCTGAACTCAGTGGACGTTGTACTTCTGAACTCATTGAAATGTTTTAATTTAGAGTTTCTAATATAACTTACATGATCTCGGTTCGTTGTTGGTTGTGCTGACGTGTTTGATCGTTGCTGGTGAACATTGCTATGTTTGTTGCTGCCTCATTTAATACTTCCTCTTCAAATGGGCTAATGGAAACGTTCCCAAATTTAAAATAATGCTAGTTGTCTCAGCATTGCTAAGCCATTAGACCTGTTGCTGATTCTTGTCCAAGCAAAATTTTCACAGCTTGTTGCGGGTCGCGAACACGCAACACACTGCTCTAATTTTGCTGTGCTTTACCGCCTGGCCACCTCGCTGATTTCGCCGTGCCTTTATGCTTTCTTCAATTGAATATCATATTGTTGTTATTCGCGCTAAATCTGAGAGACTCCGTCTCTCCCTCCCAGCGACTCTCGGGGGTTTGAGTTTAATGCACAAAAAGTTCTTTCGGGAAGCTCAGTCATTATTCCAATTCTGGTTGATGAACGAGTACATTGCTTGTCCAGGGTGTTATGTAACGATGGTTCTGACGGGTCAGCAGGCTAGTAGAACTACCTGCGGGTCTAATTGTACCGAAAATCTTGACCTAACACCCCATCCCTAGTCGCCGCTACCAGAATGGGCAATTACAACAACAGTCCCGTATGGGAACATCGTATGGAATATAGCGTCCATTTACTGTCATGCAATTGGAGGTCTAATGACATGGATGCTCGTGTATATTTTGGTCAGTTTTTGTGTTAATTTTGCTTTTGTTTTCCTTGTGGCTTCATCGCTGCTGCCGGAGCCACTCTTGTCACTACCGCCGCATTTTGATCGTTAATGGAAGCCTTCGCTCCACCTACCTTTGTGTTTGCGAGTCTAAATTTTATTTAAGCTGGTAAATTATTATCTAATTAAATAAAGATTATTATTGATATGTTTGAGGTTACAGATTTTAAGCCGTCTGTCCTGCCATTAAGATTACCTCTTGATGCTTGTTCACCTGCGATTCAGCGGATCTTATCATATTGAATCTAGGCCTATTCTTCAATGCCGAAGATACTATACTATACTCATGTTATTGTATTGTTTCGTGTCGGTTAACCGTTAAGTTCGGCACGACCCAACACGGTTGCCTGATGGCCTAAAAACGGCAAAGTCCGCGGACAAAAAAGGCCTATTATTCAATATTTATTAGTAAATTTGTAGGTTCCGGTGCAAAAATTAAATTTCACTTTTTTCATACTTTCTATAATCTAACGAGGGAGTCCGCCATCATAATTTTTTCCGGCTAATGCAATAAAATCGAGCGGAATTTGTCCAGAAAAAAAGACTGCAACACACCGGTGGTTCGTTCCGCACTTAACGTGTTACTCACTTTACGGATGTCTAGCACTATAGTGCGAGGTTACGAATGTCTAGCACTGTAGTGCAAGGTTATGAATGTCTAGCACTATAGTGCGAGGTTATGAATGTCTAGCACTATAGTGCGAGGTGAATGTCTAGCACTATAGTGCGAGGTGAATGTCTAGCACCTGTCTCTTATACACATCTAGATGTGTATAAGAGACAGGTCTAGCACTGTAGTGCGAGGTTATGAATGTCTAGCACTGTAGTGCGAGGTTATGAATGTCTAGCACTGTAGTGCGAGGTTATGAATGTCTAGCACTGTAGTGCGAGGTTATGAATGTCTAGCACTGTAGTGCGAGGTTATGAATGTCTAGCACTGTAGTGCGAGGTTATGAATGTCTAGCACTACAGTGCAAGGTTATGAATGTCTAGCACTGTAGTGCGAGGTTATGAATGTCTAGGCACTATAGTGCGAGGTTACGTATTTATATCATTTGTTGCTTCATTCACTGCCAGTCAAGAGATATAATGGATAAATAATAAGACCAGCGAAGATGTTCTGCCTAAATTGTCTTTTCCCGGAAATTGGCTCCAGTAATGCCGTTAGTATTATTATTTACAATTATAGTTTTAATAAATGATAATTATTTTATGTAACAATAGAATGTCACAACGTCTGGTGCAAGAGAACGTTACACATTGAAAAAAATCAGGAAATAATGTAAAAGTGAAAAGACCATGTGGCAGAGTCATAGGCTTACGGTGTATTTGTTATCACAAAATCTCGTGTGTTCTTACTAATGTGTTGAGTGACCAGGTCCCGTGCGTGTTGTTCCTTTCAATAAAAACTAACAGGTTGTGAATGCAGCGTTTTTTACCTACATCCATCCGTATTGTATTATCTCTGGTTTGTATTTCTCAGTCACAGTTTCTTGTGAGAACTTCACTGCCTTGGGAATCAGACTTGTGAATTTCCGACTTCGTAGAGGAGAGCAAATTGTGCTGCTAATAGAATCCTTTACTTCTGAGTTGTTACAATGTATAAAGACACTATGAATAGGTGAACAAACCTGTAAAAATAGCGGCATTGTGAGAGGGTTTGTTAAAAATTGTGATAAGCCGCTGTTAACCTTACACTATTCACACAGAATACTCAGCTTTGCGACCAGTAATACTATTGGTTGCTATAAATATGCCATTATTTACACAAGATATCCAGCCTGCACCTCGACCGTTCTTCATTTATCGTTTGATTTGGTTAAATTAACATGACAATCATTCATCTCGGCTGAAGGAAGAGAACAAGCAGAATGAATTGCAGAGCAAGGAAAGGGATGGAGACGACCACTCACCCCATCCCTTGCCCCTCACCTCATCATCTCATCCCATTTCTGCTGCACTTCATCCCATGTAATGAGGTCAGGTTCAATGTCATGAGGTGTTGATGGGATGGGATGAGGTGAAGGATGGGAAGGTTTGAGCATTGTTTAACTAGTATAAGGTTGACACATCAGAAGCCCAGTTTTGCGGATATAGTTCATTGTTGGCTCGTGACGTCACTGATCTCAGTGACGTCACGGGCATTAACCAATCACCGAATTGCGATCAAACCAGTCGACCAATCTGTCATGGGAGTGACGGGTTTGTTTACGTTTCTCGATCTACGTGACGTAACAAGAAAGCTGAACTGGAAGACGGAATTCCTCGTGGGTCAACCTTATATAGTTCAACCATGGGTTAGAGATGGGATGAAGCGAGGGATGGAAATGGGATGAGGTGAATGGTGGAGATGAAGTGATGGAGGAGATGGCAACAGCCACGCCAAAAGATTTCTTATCGTCACCAGGGGCCATACTTTCAAAACTCGCTAAGTGAACGTAAGTACTTACGCTCTATTTTCTTGTCTATGATTGGTGGATTTTGCTTGAAAGGTCGTCAATGATTGGCTGATGAACTTACGATCCCTTAACTTTATTTGAAAGTATAGGCCCAGTTGCGTAGAGTAACGAGGGTATAAATTTCAGGAGCCGCTATGAATTCAGAAAATACAATTAGAGAATAACTATAATATTGCATTGCTTCTTAGCCCCCGTCAGTCTGTACAATTTCGCAACATTACCCTAGTATCGAGGGTAGTACATTCGTATCAGTACAGTCAGACAAGGGTTGAAAAATAATTTATAACTACATATGATTACAGAAACATTTCGAAAAGCGCTCAGGGGGGACTTCTGACGGGTGTCTGTGCTCGTCAGAAGTCCTATGGGATTTCGCGCTCCTAGGGGGATTGTTCCTGAGCGCCCCACCGCTGAGCTCGTGGTGTCTGACTGNACACACTAGCACAACATTACGCTAAATTACACACTAGCATAACATTAAGATAAATTACACACTAGCACAACATTACGCTAAATTACACACTAGCATAACATTAAGATAAATTACACACTAGCACAACATTACGCTAAATTACACACTAGCATAACATTAAGATAAATTACACACTAGCACAACATTACGCTAAATTACACACTAGCATAACATTAAGATAAATTACACACTAGCACAACATTACGCTAAATTACACACTAGCATAACATTAAGATAAATTACACACTAGCACAACATTACGCTAAATTACACACTAGCATAACATTAAGATAAATTACACACTAGCACAACATTACGCTAAATTACACACTAGCATAACATTAAGATAAATTACACACTAGCACAACATTACGCTAAATTACACACTAGCATAACATTAAGATAAATTACACACTAGCACAACATTACGCTAAATTACACACTAGCATAACATTAAGATAAATTACACACTAGCACAACATTACGCTAAATTACACACTAGCATAACATTAAGATAAATTACACACTAGCACAACATTACGCTAAATTACACACTAGCATAACATTAAGATAAATTACACACTAGCACAACATTACGCTAAATTACACACTAGCATAACATTAAGATAAATTACACACTAGCACAACATTACGCTAAATTACACACTAGCATAACATTAAGATAAATTACACACTAGCACAACATTACGCTAAATTACACACTAGCATAACATTAAGATAAATTACACACTAGCACAACATTACGCTAAATTACACACTAGCATAACATTAAGATAAATTACACACTAGCACAACATTACGCTAAATTACACACTAGCATAACATTAAGATAAATTACACACTAGCACAACATTACGCTAAATTACACACTAGCATAACATTAAGATAAATTAGACACTAGCACAACATTACGCTAAATTACACACTAGCATAACATTAAGATAAATTACACACTAGCACAACATTAAGATAAATTACACACTAGCATAACATTACGATAAATTACACACTAACACAACATTATGCTACTGACGCGGCTATGGGGTTGGTCTTGCGAGCGCCCCTGGCGTTAAGCCTCCTAAGGGCGTCGTGTAGGGGCAGCAGTCCGCCGTTAAGGTGGGTCGTGGCGACACACAACTCCACGATCTGCACCCCGAGCTCGTAGTACAGCTCACCAACACCTAGCAGCTCGCTCCAGAAACCTGGAGGACGACAGAACTTTGTATTGACAGTAAATAATCAGGAAAATATAACTCAGTACTCACTGCAGCGAGTGACAGAGAGCACATTTTCTAGTCGACGAAAACTTGAAGTCACGGACGGACAGACAGACGGACATGGCGAGCACAATAGTGCATTTTTTCCATAAATGAGAAAATGCGCTAAAAATGAATGGGTCACATTGTCAAAATAGTGTCAACTATTTTTACCCATAAATACATGCATGCGTTCAAGTAATAATACATTGTTAAGTGGTAATAATACATTTTTAAACTAATACATGGTTGAACAAATAATAGTTCAAGCATGGTAAATACTGGAGGACGACAGAACTTTTTATTGACAGTAAATACTCAGGAAAATGAATGGGTCACATTGTGTCAATTTTTTTACCCATATCACAAGCAGAGAGCAGACGTAGCACTGATACGGTCATTAGCCGGACCAAACTGAGTAAAGATGATTCAGTTTAGACACAAAGTGCATCAATATTTTAACGAAGTCTCACTTATTCTTTGAGTGTAGCGTTCCAGAATTCAGGATATTCACACAATAATTGACTAAAAATGATCTGCTCGAAGTAATAACACTTTGATTTTAATTTGCTTCATTAAGCTGGTCGAGAATTATCAAGTAATAAACACAAGGCAAGTGTGTGCAGTCAGGAGGAAAATATAGCAGAAAAAGTCAGATATAACATTAGAACACTTCTAAAGTAAAGATGAAAATTACGATAAAAAACATGAATTGCACAACAATCAATTACTCATGAACACTCGCATGCAATATTGAGATGAATATTAGCTTGCAAACGATCATTTAATAAAAACTCGATGTGATATGAAAATATATACATGAATCGTACAGTTTAAGAAAAGTTAACAAAAAGGAAAATTCACTAATATTCCAAACAAGTAAGATGAATTTTCTTAATATTTATATTCTTGTGTAATTAGCAAATGGAATAAACCAGAGGATCCCAAACTTTTGCAGGCTGCGTGCCCCCGTGCTTCTCAGTGAATTCCTAGCGCCCCCAACAGACACATAATAGTCACATAGCGCCTTCCACAGACACACAAAAAACCCAGATTTTACACATTTTAGAAACTTACAATAGAAACCCAGGAGAGGCTCAAAAAGCCCTGATCTGGGTGGAAAAACACATCGTTGGGAGTCATGTGCTGCACGTGTTGTGTACAAATCGTCAAACAAACTTTGGAACCTCTGACTTCGGACTGCGGCACTCTTCTTCCTCATGCCCCCCCCCCAGATCTTTTTACCGCCCCCAGGGGGGCGATGCTGCCCGCTTCAATTGGTAACCACTGGAGTAAACGAACGGTCTCGATACAGAGGAGTAGTGCATGTGGTTGTGAACTTGTCGGCCGACGACGAATACAACGCAAGTCACGCTGCATCTGCTGCTCTTTCCGTTCTGGACGTGTATAGTCATAGGCGTCCTTCCATCATTATTGTCACGTACGTCTCATCCTAGCAAGTAAACTGCCATTGTGGTCCGTAAACTATGTAGTTAGCAACAAGTGGACCCTAGTTATTTATCTACTTAACCTCGTCACCTGGAGCCATTGAGAAAATTATGTTTTGATGATGCCACATTCACTAATAACTTCCACAAGTTGCGTATTATATCCTAAGATACTGTTAACCTCTTTTTTTCCTAACATATTTTTAACCTGCATTGTATTCTAACATACTTTTAGTTGCTGCTTGTATAGAGATGATTCGGAGGAGCGAACTTAACGTGGATGCGACATTCGAAACCTCGCGAGAAACTGGAGATGAGCTTCCAGGTTGTAAAATGGAAAGAAAATCCATCTTTGCGATGGATTGTTATGAAATGCATCCATTTGCAAGCCTTGATCGGACGATAGACAATTGAACCTTCGAGAGCAAGTATAATGCAGTGTGGACTTATAGAGGCAATTCAGTGAACTGGTTCACACAATAAGAAGAAATGTAGAACAATTTATACGCGTTGAGTACTCAACGTGTCAATCTAAGTACAAAATTGAGTACTGGGCAACTGACGTTGCGTGGATCTCTACTTGAAACATGGGTATGGGTCATATTGTGTAATATTTTTAACGATAGTGAATATATCGATAGCCTTGTTGAAACATGAGGACTAGCTAGGGAATTTGCATAATAACGGTCAAGCAATACTAATAAAAAAACTCGGTATTCTGAGTCTATGCTCAGAATACCGTTCTATATATACCGTTCTTATATCTTCTACTCAGTTCTATCTAAAATTCCACTCTGGCAGCTAGACAACTTCTAAGAATCAGAAGCAGGATTTCATCAGAGCTCACATCGTTTAGAAAACGTGCCAGAAACTCTCACTTTAGACGTGAAATTACTCGATGCGATTCTATTCTTTATATTATATGAATTAATGAAGAATGCTTTTTAATTATAGAGCACACGAACCTTTGTTCTGCATTACTGAACGAATTGGATCTCCAAACAAGAAGCACAGTTTATATCAACAATTAAACAATTCCAGGAAAGCCTCAGGCCGCACGTGTCGGAATTGTATGAAGTGGACAAAGTCAACAGCAAAACGAATCAAATTACATCACTGGTGACTCAGCACATCTTTAGATAAAATACTTAAATAAAAATACAAGATTCCCTGGAAGCGTTCAGGCGATTTACTCTATGCGATGAAATGAAACTGTAGTATAAGTGTGAAGAAATTCCGATAAAATGTTTACTGGACTCTTTGGACAACATCTGCGGCACATGTGCACATCGCTACTTTATTGATGAGACTTCAGCGAGCCAAATAAAGACTAACACGAATGATAACGATTTAATCTCTATGATTTAATAACGCAACAACTTTGACATACAAACGGTTAACGAGTTCCCTAACCCCACAGCCTCCACTATAACCTGTTTAGCCAAGTCACGTGTAAGAACGGTCAACGGTTAACGGTTTGTTCGTACCATACCTGGGCAGCTCCAGCCGCACTTTTTAACGCGAGTCAACTCACTGCAGTGGAGTTGCAAGCTTCACTTCAGAGACGCTCGTGCATAGCATGCGAGATCATGTAGCGTGTGCCGCGCATATGGATTGTGGTTTGTAGCAGCACTTCGACGTAACAGCAGCAGCAGTTCGACGTAAAAGCAGCAGCAGTTCGACGTAACAGCAGCAGCACTTCGACGTAACAACAGCAGCAGTTCGACGTAACAGCAGCAGCACTTCGACGTAACAGCAGCAGCACTTCGACGTAACAACAGCAGCACTTCGACGTAACAGCAGCAGCACTTCGACGTAACAGCAGCAGCACTTCGACGTAACAGCAGCAGCAGTTACACATAACAGCAAATATTATAGCCACCGTTTCAACTTTTCTTTAGCAAGGCCCCAAGAAAAACGCGGATGTAAACTCGATACCTCAAATGGACAAATAGCGCGTAGTTACAATTGTCCTTTGGAGAGACTAATTAATTTAATTATCTGACGTTAATGTTAGAAAATAACGAGATAATAAAAACACAAAACAAATTTTTAAATTTTTACCAGTTTTCTTGAATATTTTTCTCGTTAATAAAGATTAAACTATTCCACTTCAGTGACACTGTCAGCTCCCTCACTTGCGATTTTATCCAATTCATTTTCAATACCGCGACAGCGGCGGAGGGTGCCATGCCAAATTATGAATAGTTCTGTTGATTTTGTACAATAGTTTTGTTGAATGTGTTGAATAGTTTTGTTGATTGTGTGGTGCTGTGTATTGAAGACTTGTATGCGTGGGGGCGCGTGTCTATACACACACTATAGGCGACAAACTCGCTGTGTAATTCGACGATCTTATTGCTTGTCACGCAGCACTTGCAGCCATTGCCATGCAGTCATGTTGCTTGTCAACTGAAAACTTCTCCTGCAGTCAAGTTGCTTGTCAACTGAAAACTTTTCCTGCAGTCAAGTTGCTTGTCAACTGAAAACTTTTCCTGCAGTCAAGTTGCTTGTCAACTGAAAACTTTTCCTGCAGTCAAGTTGCTTGAGTCACCTGAAAACTTTTTTTGACAACAACTGAAAACTTTTGTTGTCAGAAAAAAGTAAAAAAACTGAAAACTGAAGTCAACAACTGAAAACTTTTCAGGTTTCTAACATCACTTTTCGTTGCTCATTATTATGCATGATCATAGTTCTGCGAACATGATCGCAACAATTGTAATATGTTTGTATCGATTTGAATATGATTCTAATATAATTTTTATAATAATGCTAGAAATATGATGATATTGACATGTATATTATCATGCTATTATTATGATCATTATAGCATGAATATGATGATGTAGTGATGGATATGCTGCATCAGAGCGCGTGCTGTGCCACAGCATGCGCCTCTCAAGACCTCCATGGGAGACCAGAGCATAGCAACGCTTCCGGACACTCGTAACTACCTACGATATCGTAGCTCCTTCACACTACAGCTATTGGTGTATCTAGCGGTGATGGTGATGGTGATGCAGGGCCTGGAACGAGATTACAGTGCAGATACAGGGTGAGTCACGGGGAAGAGGCGTGTGGCATTTCCTGTGCCGCTGCTGCCACTACTGCAGCTGCTGCCTCGTCTCACTGCTGCCACTACTGCAGCTGCTGCCTCGTCTCACTGCTGCCACTACTGCAGCTGCTGCACCAGCTGACTGCTGCAGATTTATTAGTCCAGGAGTTTTCACTCGTATTTCCGAAATGCCTGCGGTAGCGTTTGTACTTTATTCGGCATTTTTGATGTAGATTTAGCTTAGGAAAAAACTCCAGATTTCGCATTGCATTCATTTATAAATTTTTGGAAATACAAAAACAAATTCTCGCAGTGAGGAAATAATAGCGAAAAATCGCAAAGAAATAGAAGAAAAAATGTATTATCGAATTCAAGAGAATTAGATGACATGAAATAGAGGCAATTTTACGATCCCTGACACATATGACATGAAGAATTTCGACCGCGGCAGAGAAGGCAAATAAACATAAACATGAATAAATCGAATACGAATCCAACTCACGAATTGAAATCAAATTATCAATAAATACAGTTAACAATTTAGAGCAAGCATTAAAAGACTTCGTACAAATTTGTCCCTGTGCGAGTCGTTCTGACTCAGTTTGGTCCGGTAGAAGGGCGTTATATATCAATGCACGTACGCTCTCAGCTCGTGCTGTGGGTAAGAAAGTGTGTCACTATTTGGACAAAATGACCCATAAATTTGTTGAGTGAGACGCTGCAGCGCAGATCACCAGGTATCAAAAAGTGAATATTCCGGCCGCGTTTGAGCATCACTCAAAAAACTGAGAGATTTTGTCCAAATTGCGAAACACGTTTTACCCTTGTATGGGATATTCTGAACTAGTTTCTACAGAAAAAAAGAACGTATTAGTGTTACAGGCAGAATGTGTATCTTTATTTGGACAACATGACCAATACATTTATATGAGTGAACGCAACGCGCATGATGTCGCTGGCGACGATTCAGAAAAAATTAAGCCAAGCGTCACGAAATTTATGAAGGAGTGAAGCATGAAAGCGAAATTATAATTGTGGTCCAAAATTGCGGTGGTGATAGCCGCTTATTCTGTGGTCCGCGGACCACACAGCTTTTACTTACCCCTCCACCACCCCTAAGGCCGAGTGCAGTCACCCCTCAACCCGGGGTGATTAATGCATATTTGGGGTGAGGGAACACCTAACATCACTCCAGTACCACACCTAACATCACTCCAGCACCACACCTAACATCACTCCAGCACCACACCTAACATCACTCTAGCACCACACCTAACATCACTCTAGCACCACACCTAACATCACCTAACATCGCTCCAGGCATCAGCAGTCCAGGGACCTTGAAAGGACAATGCCAGCCACACGCTGGGTGATCAGCAGCAACATAGTGCGCATGAAGCATAGTTTGTGGGTGAAATATTAAACTAACTTTTCCAATACTCACATAATTCTTCACTTCGCACAGTAAAAGTTCCTAATAACCTTGACAATAAAGCAGAGGAAATGTTCATTTAATTACCTCGAAAGTAGAGAAAAAAAAACTGGTGTATAAATGTCTCTAGTTCTCGGTATGGCGCTCGCAGGCATGAGACGGAATGAGTCGTCAGGGCGGTAGTGTCGCCGCTGGCGTCGTGGAGTGAGGGTGTGCGTCGTTGTGCTCTGTGTTAGCTAACCTAAGTTGAGCCTGTGTTCACAACGTGGGTGTGTCGCACATTGATATGACTGGCACATAATTAAACAACCTGTTATGAGTGTTATAAGAGATCCCTGCACATGTTGCCTTTAAAATAATTGTGCATTTAGGAAAACAAAATTAATAATAGTTTGAGTAGAGCGCCGTCATTGAGTATTACAATAGAAACGATTAATGTTTAGATAGTAAGCACACATTTTTGGATGACTTCAACATCGCACGGTGATAATATTACTAGTGACTAATATAAGCGGATACTTTGAAGACTTCTGATCTCAGGTAAGCTTGTTACTTCACCCGTAACGTGCCTTGATTACAGATTATCATTCGTCTGTATTGCTGGAAGTAAGTAAAGTTAAGGCTGAGTTATTAATGAATTAATAATTACTTAAATATAATAATAATCACCTTAATAACAAATAATAATTGTGATACTTTAATTAATTATTAAAGTACAACTGAGTATCAATTATTCTACGACCATCATCGTAATATAAATGATATTCTGAATAATTTGGCAATAATAACGAATCTAAATGTCTAATTCATAACTAGCACGAAATGATCGTACCTACGATAAAAGTTAACTTTGTGGCAGTAAGCGCAGTCTGCAACGTCGCTTGGATTTGCATATAATAAAAAAAAAATTTTAACGAGCCTCAAATATTATATTATTGACGTGACCTTGAAGGCATTGAGAGGAACGCGCGACAGGATTGCCGTCGACTGCCAACACTCAGAGCAATCAATGAGACATTGTCCAAATAACGATACAGTTTTGCCCTCATGTGGGTCATCTTGACCCAGTCTGGTACGGAAAAAGGACGTATCAGTGCTACGGGCAGCAAGTGTGGGTCACCATTTGGACAACATGACCCATGGACTTTTCAGAGTGACGCATGCAGCAAACGCAGCCGATGTCTCAATTGTTCAGTACATCCATTGAAGCAAACGCTGCACAATAGATATACAATTAGGGACCATGAAATACAATGCGTAGGACGATTTAATTGAGTTACACTGGATGATCAATGATATCGATGACGAGCTAATGATAGTGTATGCTATGTACTAGGTAATAGAGTACATTTATTATCTATGTACGGTATTATGTACTCGAGGCTATGTTCTGTACCATCTACTATATACTCTGTACTGTAGCATGTACTCAATCAAATGTACGAAATACTGTGTAATGTAGCATTTACTCAAGACTATGTACTCTGTACCATGTATTGTACTATGTACTCAATTCTATATACCCGGTAGTACAAGTTCAATTCGTCCGTACAAAGTGAACAATACCGACTGCTTTTGATCGTGGACCACGCCACCATCATGTTCAGTGGGGAAAGCGGTATAACTACTGGCATCATTAGTTAGAACGAATAAACTTTCCCCAACTAATTAAATGAATATAAATCAGAACAGTACGAATTTTTAATTATGAAGTGCTTAAAACACGCACAGTTAGCTTTACCAGCGAAAATCAAGCGCCGGAGAGATCGAATTTAAATCTGTACCGTAAACTGATCGCAAAAATATCAACAAATTCGGTAGAACAAAACAAATTAAACTCACTATAAGCAAAAAAGAGCAATTAAAGTAAGAATTACTGCAAACAAAAACTTCACGAGACGAAGCAGCGATGAAATGAGTGATCGGGTACCAGGATTACCGGGAAAATGTTTAGGGTCGCAGCGTGACGTCAGAGCGACGCGCGCGAAAGTTGGCACCGCGCCGAGCTTGTCGACGTCACCGATGACGTCACGCGACGTGGCGCAATGTCACGTCACAACTGCCGGTCAATGTCGTTACTAAGAACTATGTCGACAATAAGAACTATGTTGACACTAAGAACTATGTCGACAGTAAGAACTATGTCGACAATAAGAATTATGTTGACACTAAGAACTATGTTGACACTAAGAACTATGGCGACGATAAGAACTATGTTGACAATAAGAATTATGTTGACAATAAGAACTATGTCGACAATAAGAATTATGTTGACACTAAGAACTATGTCGACAGTAAGAATTATGTCGACAATAAGAACCATGTCGACAATAAGAACTGTGTCGACAATGAGAACTATGTCGACACTAAGAACTATGTCGACAATAAGAACTATGTTGACACTAAGAACTATGTCGACAGTAAGAATTATGACGACAATAAGAACTATGTCGACAATTTGAATTATTTCGACACTAAGAAGTATGTCGACAATCTGAGTCATCTCGACAAAAAGAACTGTGTCGACAATAAGAACTATGTCGACAATAAGAACTATGTCGACAATAAGAACTATGTCGACAATGAGAACTATGTCGACAATAAGAACTATGTCGACACTAAGAACTATGTCGACACTAAGAACTATGTCGACACTAAGAACTATGTCGACAATCTGAATTGTGTCGATAATATTATGTCGACTAGCGATAGTTCAGTCATCATGCACTAGAGACTGCGATGTTCTTGCTAACATTCAAATATTTGTCAGAAATCAGTACTAAATATTTTATTTCAAATCTGAAGTTAAAATTCGGATGAAATCGACAGCAAAACCCATAGCATCAACAGAAGAATACGTCAAGCATCATGGCGATAGATATATCATTATAGATCAGATATATAATATATATCATTATTGGTATTCCCATTTGATGAGATAGATATATCATCGAAACGAATGGGTCACACTGTATATACATAGTGACACACTTTCTACTCGAAACAATGAAACGATATTTTTGCGGGTCAAAATGGGTCAGGATGACACATACACAAGGTGAAAAAAATATAACTCAGTACTCACTGCATAGGTGACAGAGAGCGCATTTTCTCGTCGACGAAAACGTGAAGTCACGAACGGACAGACAGACAGACATACATGAAGGACGGACGGACATGGCGAGCACAATTAATAGCGCCGTTTTTTCATAAATGAGAAAATGCGCTAAAAAGCATCGCTATTTGGACAAAGTCTCATGCATTCTCCTGAGTGTTGACAATGTCAAGCGACGGCTGCAGTTCTCGGACTCAGCGCCGCGATGAAAGTTGCGCGGCGCTGCAGAAGTTCAGAGCTTGGCCCTAGAATCTGGGGCCTTGCACTAGAAATTCTAAGAAACTAAGTTTTTATCAGCGGTCAATTATAGCAGAGACCTTTTATTTCTGCTACATTTACGATTTTTCATCATAGAATTAAACTTAAAACTCATTCTCTATACCGGTCAGCTATAGCACAGGCCCTTATATCTGCATGCTACATTTCCGATTTTTCATCATAGAATTAAACTTAAAACTCATTCTTTACCGGTCACTTATAACACAGGCCTTTTGTTCTGCTACATTTGCGATTTTTTTTCCTAGAAATAAACTTGAAACTCATTTTCTTCTAGTCAATTATAGCACAGGCCTTTATTTCTGCTACATTTGCAATTTTTTTCTCTTAAAATTAAACTTGGAACTCATTCTCTACAGATATAAAATGTCCCAAATACCAGACGAAGAAACGAGGATTGCCTTTTTTTAATTCTCTTCAACGTTGAGATTCAGCGACGACATTTTATCAAGAGAATGAAGACAATTGAAACCCAGTTACACATGGCCTGATATAAATTTACAAATAAATACCATATAATGATTGCTCGAAAGTTTCAAAACGGATGTTGGCTTTGGTCAAAGCTACACTCGGAAAATAAAATGTGTCATATTGTGCAAAAATCGACACATTTTCTTGCGCACAGACGACGCACTGATTCGTCTTTTTTTTGAGCCAAACTGTAAAAAGTGCATCGCTTTTTGGACAAAGACTCACTTATTTCTGTGAGTGATACAGGAGCTAACGGACTAACAGGATTGGCACGTCCTTCGGTCAGGCGACACAACAAGTTTATTGTGTGATACCGACCTCCCCTCCCCATGTGGGGTTATAGCGGATTGATTAACTCATGTATGTCATTTATGGTATGTTATAAGCGACCATGCATACATAGTAAATTTTTAAAGTGACTAGATAACGAAAACTCTTTCTTGACGGACGCTTTTCAAACTGACGTGCGAGATAAATTCAAATGATTTTCAAGTGTTTTTACATGACATTCTGAATGCTTATATGAAGTGAAGGGTAAGATGAGTCAATAGACGCTTCAAAAGCTTATCGGGCTCGTTGATGTCGGTATATACAATTGAGTAACGTGAGTCTCTGCGGCCAATATGCATAAAAATGTCATTTGTGTCACTATTGTCAGAATAGTGACACTTTTTTACCTGCAGCACGAGAAAAGTGCGTACGTAGCAATGGGACGTCCTTTTGCCGGGCCTAACTGGGTCCGGGTGACCCACACCCGTGCAAAAAGTGCATCACTATTTGAACAAAGACTCGTTCATTTCTATGAGTGTAACTAACACTCAACGTGAAGGACCAATTAAATTAAATACTATAGTTTCCTCTCAGTGGAGGGATAGAGAATAGGGTTTCTAACTATTAAAACGTAATAGATCGTTTTTTTTAATATTCATCAAAACACAATAGATCGAATAAGTCGCCAAGCTTATCAATTTTGTTATGGTACAAGTACACGTACCAGCTGCTGGGATATTGCCCTAGCGACGTAACACAAGCAGATCCTGCTGATGAATTACCGACACAAATATTTAGCTGTGAACTTTTAGAAACTTCAAAGCATTCCATCAAACCATTTCTATCGTTACTTACGATGCACTAGTGACGTCAAGCAACCAGAACCAATAAATACAGTACCATGATAAAACAATACCAGCAAACTTTGAGAATGTAAAAAAAAACTAATTTCACTGAAGAAAACGCGTTAATACATCGTTATTTGCGATAGAAACTGTGGTGGCTTGCATTCCATGATGAAAGGCCTGTAGTCTGGACTGAACATTTCCCTGGCTGGCCTGACCACAAAATGGAAAAGACGAAGTGCGGTGCATGTTGCGCCACCTTATACATTTTCATTTCCTGACATTCCATTGCGATTACATGTTCAGTTATAGCCAAAATACACATGCACAATGTATACTCAGATGTATTTCTCAACGGGCGAGATAATTCATATTGTTTTGCCTTTGCTCTAATGATTTTTTACATGAATGTATCTTCTTTATAAGCATGACAAAGTTCAACAAAAAATACACTACTTTTGCAGTGACTTGCATATTAATATTGCCTAGACAAACTCGGCACTTGAGAGTATAGGCATATAATATATCGGTATATTATTATGCCTCGGTATATTGTTATCAGACTCATTATTATGGTTTCGGTATATTAACATTAACTTATTTCTCACGCAGTCTATCTATTCCGTCTTGGACATTTCAACTGGCACACTAAACACACGTAGAACTCGGGAGGTACAAATAAAGGAATAATTTCTAATCGTTCAGTCTCAACGTTCACGTTTTTTATATCGACAAGCAAATAGAGAGAAGACGGAGGAGTTTTGTATTCAGTGCAGTCGTGGTAAAGAGCCGCTTAAACCGCGTGCTGCGTTCATAAAGCGTGTGGAAGAAATTCGAGACATACCAAAATCATTTAATAAGATTGGTTCATCAGAAACAAGGAGCGTGAGGCCTGAAATATCTTGCGCACTGGGGCTATCAAATCGTTTGAGAAAAATTGTATCAATGTAGTACAAACGTAGCCTATATGCACGCGAGCGACAGCAAGTTCCAGCCTTTGTATCTATGTACTTCTATATAGTGATGGCGGTGCCCTGATATGTAGTGTGCTTCTATATATAGTTGTAGCGATGCCCTGATATAGAGCGTATTTCTATATAGTGATAGCGACGCCCTGATTCCATTTAAAAACTACAAACTCAGATGGACAAAACAAAACGTTAAATAAACAGACCAATATGCCGTCTTAATATCATTCTGTTCTGCGAATGAATACATTCTAAAACTTAGTCAATTGTCATCTGACTTTTTGAGACTCATTTTAGCGGAGAACAGGAACTGGGCACTGGCCCACGTCGGGCGAGTTCCGGTAACGGAACAACTTACGGTACGTCGGGTGAGAGGGACGAGGTGCCGGGACACTTACGGCACGTCGGGTGATGAGGGACGAGGTGCCGGGACACTTATGATACGTCGGGTGTTGAGGGACGAGGTGCCAGGACACTTACGGCACGTCGGGTGTTGAGGGACGAGGTGCCAGGACACTTACGGCACGTCGGGTGTTGAGGGACGAGGTGCCAGGACACTTACGGCACGTCGGGTGTTGAGGGACGAAATGCCGGGCCAGCAGGCGGAGAAATTAGTGAAGCCTTGTCCAAATAGTGATGAATTTTGCCCTAGTGTGGGTCATCCTGACCCAGTTTGGTCCGTACCAGTGCTACGTCCAATTTATGTTCGTGCCGTGGGTGAGATAGTGTGTCACTGATTGCACGATATGAGCCATTAATTTGCCTGAGTGCTAGCGGGGTGAACGTTGCACTTCCTCGTCCCGGTAGCGGACAGGAACAAGAGAACTTCGGCCCTGAGCGAGACCCGAGACTAGGGTGGTGTAGAGCAGGTGGTATAGCGCAGGTGGTGTAGCGCAGGTGGTGTAGCGCAGGTGGTGTAGCGCAGGTGGTGTAGCGCAGGTGTGGTGTAGCGCAGGTGGTGTAGCGCAGGTGGTGTAGCGCAGGTGGTGTAGCGCAGGTGGTGTGGCGCACACTTTAGCGCTCAGCGTAACAAGCAATTAATGCACGTTTTGCACCAGTAAGGGGCATGCTGACTCAGTTTGGCTCAGCAAACGGGCGTACTAGTGGTACGTAGAGAAAGGGTGTCAATATTTGAATAATATATAATCCATTCATTCATTTTTTCGGTGTTCTCCACTAAGCAATAACCGTACGCTTCCAAACCCGTCAGCAAAAGTGTCGCCCAGTCTGCCATGCCCACCACAAACTGTGATAACTTTGAAGGGTATTGCAATAGCTCAATGAACACACTACATGTTCATGCAAAATGTTAACTGAGAATATTTCACGTTATGTTAGAGTCGAGTCACTGTGTTGTTCAGCGCAATGGTAAGCAGAAATTAAATTATTCTTCGTTAAAACGAAAACAACGTGGTGATTAAAATAACAAAGTTGTCATCACAAGTATAACTTAACCTCTCGCTACTGCAGCTGAATTTTATATCGCTACATGGATTTCCATCATTTATTACTAATATATTAAGCCCTCTAAACATACTTTGTTGCGATGGCAGAAAGCATATGCATTACCTTCCTGGACCAAGAGATTTGTTCTGCCGATTCAGCCGCGCACTTAAAGATTCCTCAGGAAGCGCACGCATGCATGGCGGCAGGAGACCTTCAGCCGCGACCTACGAACAACTTTTACCTGACGACGCACACTCCACTTGCGGGACTCTTATACACTCACAGGAATGAGTGGAACTTTATCCAAATAGCTGCGTGCATTTATCACACTCCACTTGCG